CAATGTGAGGCTGAATGAAATTCTGATCTCACAGAACGAGCTCCGTTTTACCCCCACAGATGCTTCACAGATGCTGTCTTCATTGCTATACAGGCAGTGGAGAAATATCGAGAGCAGCGCTGTTTCTCCTTCATATACACATTGAGAAGCCTCCTTCCTTTCACCCTGACCAACAGTCTGTTTGGAGTCTCAAGAACGGAACCAGAAGACCGGAATACCTGTTCTCCGTAGGGAAAAACTCAAACGATGGGTCTAGGGCGGGTGCAAGTATTCCGTAACAAAGCAGGTACACATCACCTTTGGGGTAAAGTAAGGATCAGTCTTGAAATTGTTCTTTTTCCTGCACGTCTTATCGTCATGGTAAAGCTACTCATGGATTGGCCCCTGATGATCATCCTCTACACTGATGGCATAGTCCTGATAGTAGATATCTAAGGAAACTTCAGGACGTACAAGGTGCCAAGGCAACACAAAGTGGTGGCAAAGAAGTTATCGGAAGCTTACCGTGAAGATGACCAAAATCATTAGTTTCAGTTTATAGGGATGGGGAACAGCCCTTCGAGAGGTACCCTCTGGCTCGGTTGGAGACGAATCAGCTGAATTGTCCCGCAATTTCTCACTGAGGCGCTTTTCCGACTTAAAAAATGAGCCTTCTGTGAATGAGAGTGTGAACTCAACAGGGGTCTGTACCGGCAACTAGGACCCTTGTTCACGTGCAACCCAAGTTGATGTCACGGAGAGCTGCTTTCTATGGCACATCCGGTTCACTGCAAGAGTGAAACGACAGAAGAGTTCGGAGTCGGTTCATTGATAGCGGCATAATCACTCCTCTCCACGCATCAATCACTCCTGTCCGTACATTGGTACTGCCTAATAGCAATACAATTTCGGTTTTTACAATTTATTGAAGACGCACTATGATTCGTACCCTCTCTCATCAGCAGCTGACCAGTCATTGAAATAAACAGACTGGGAACACTAACGCTGTATAGCCTACTCATCGCTGTTTTTACTACTGCGTATTGTTGAAGGAAGGCTCTAAAGCCGAACCACCTGCTGAGAAGAAGAGCGCTCAAAAGCTGAGCACCAAAGGTGAGTCTTACTGTTTTCATTAGCCTTGAGTTAATAGTGGAATTAGCTGCGAGAGTAGTTATAAAATCGTTTCAGGAAGAGAAGAGGAAGAGGAAAGAAGGTGAGCTTTACAGAATTGTTCACCATTTGCTCTCTTCTCATACATGAAGTATCCCTAGAATTGAAAGAAATCACCTCAATCAATTTTTTTGGCAGGACGAGGGATCTGAGGGTAAAGCAAGAAGCAGTAGTACGATTATTCCGGCAAACTTGTACGGATATGTACTGATAAAGATCCAACATTGCGACACATTTCTTTCGCGACGCCGTTCGTACTGCATCTATGTAGCTGTATATAAATCAGTCTATACTACGGTATTCACGCTATGCGTATGTCTTCTGCATGTCTCTCGCTAAGTGAACTGGTTAGTACAATGTTCGCTCTCCCTAGGATGCACATAAGCCCTGAATTTACACCATCAGAGAACAGCAAAGCTGAACTTGAGGCGGAGGGGTGCGGTGGAAAAAATGCCGCTCACTACAAGCAGTTTGGGGTCAGGGTACAGCATCGTGATGTGTGGAATGGTGGTGTAGGCACGACCCCATCCCTTCGAGAGAGGGTGTCAGTCGCGCCGCCCCCTTCCTCACACCTACCTACCTACCTACCTACCAAATTTTCCACATTTCCAGTTTCTTCCCCCAATATTTTCGTCGAGTGGGGAAGGGAGGGGGGGGGGGAGAGGTCGTCAGAAACGCAACTACTATTTCAACTAGAACTTTGGCGTCGCCAGCAACTAGGGTGGGGGTCAAGAAGTCAACAAGAATTTTCTCCCCAACGAGGCAAATTTCTCTCAAAGCCACATACGACCCCTCTCTCCCAACGACCAAATGCGACTCCTCTCCCCTTCCCAGGGAAAGTACGACTCCCGTATGTGTTCCACACAACGATGCTGTACACTAGTTGGGGTGTCCAGCCCTGGATTTCTGCTCGAAACGCAGAGCCAGCCATATCCCTGGGGCTGGATATCAGTACCGAGGGAAAAAAGCCGGCCCGCAAATCGTCTGCCTGCCTCAGGTTGTAGTGTAAGCGAGTTCATTCAAGGTGCCACTACGATCTGAAACAGAAGTGGAGTGCATGACTAGTTCTAGAAACGGATATTCGCCGAAACACCCACCAAAGTTTTTATGGGAGGAGAAATAGGAGGACAAAATAATTTTACTTTCCGAGGATGGGGAAAATGATGCGGATGATGAAGCATTTGGCATTCGTCAAAGCCGTGTTGCATACTCACTTCCGGAAGCAGTTTTTGCCGTGGCGAGGAAGAAAAGTACGGGTTGGTTGCTACACATCTGTAAACCTTTCGTCACCTACGAGCTCGTGGAAATGAGTAGGGGAAACCCGGGCCCGTTTGCCTTTGGAGGGCGTCCTTTGTCACTCCGATGCGGAGTGTGCAGCCTTTGCGTCTTTGCCAAGGTCCAGCAACGAAACTCGCATCTGCGGCAGAGAACAGCCAGGAGGTAGAGAGAGAGAGCTGATAAGTCGGGCAACTGGCCGTGGTAGGCCTGGCTGGTGGCACGGTAGTGCGGGGTGAGCCTGAAACGGCATCCACTTACTAATGCCTTTCATCTCTGTTCGTGCACATGTGGGTGAAAGTGGCACGTTCCTATAGCTGCGAGCTTGTTGTCCTCACACATGGCAAGAACAAGGAATTCTGGATTCGAAATCGCGAAGCATACATGCATGGTTCGTGGCGTGACCAGGAAATAGCTCTAGATGTACTCTTCAGTTTCCAATAACGTAGAGCGAATGCCTATTATTTCAATGAATGTGTGACAGGTCTTAGATTGAAGACAAGCTGCACACTCACTTCCGAGAACGATCCTCGCAGTATGGGAGAGGAATGGGTCCATGGCTACATTAGCTGCCACTTCCCACGCTTTCAAGTGCCCAAAAACGGGGCTATCGGGTGGTGTTAGCTGCGTTCATACTTTGCGGCGGCGTACTCTAGCGTTCGGCAGCGGCAGTGGCAAGGAAAGGATAGATATCGGTCTAGCGTTTCACCAGCGTTTGCCAGCGTTTCACTAGGTTTCTAGCGTTTCACTAGCAATTGCTAGCGGCGAGGATTAGAGACTATGGGGGAGTAGGGCAGTAGCGAACGGCTCGATTAGCCGTCGTGGAAAATTGCGGCGTGTGCAGCCGCACCTCACTACTAGACAATACCGTACACTGAATTGTTTGAATTGCATAATGCAATGGTTGAACTGCATAATGCATAATTGTGAAGGATAAAACAACGTGGGATCATTTAGAATCTTTCATAAAGATGAGCATGTAGGTGAATATGCGGTATATTCGTCCAGAGAACGTTCATAATAATATTAAAAATTCAGAATGGAGCAGTTTCCACAGATCAGCCTTGAAAAAGATATGTTACCTGCAAAAGACGAACCGTTTTCATACTTCGCTCAGTTCCGGCGCGACAATGTAATAAAGATTACGTTTCAACAGCAGCTACAGAATTATGCAAATCAACCACTTCTGGTGTACGGTATTGTCTACTAATGTGGTGCGGTTGCACACGCCGCGATCTTCCACGACGCCCAATCGAGCCGCTTGCTATCTCCTACTCTCCACGAACACTAGCAACCTGGAAACACTAGTGAAACGCTGGCAAAACGCGAGATCGATACCCATACTTTCCTTGGCAGCTAGCGCGCCTAGCGAACGCTAGCGTAGTGTGACGCTGTCAAAACTAGATCGGTATCTATCGTTCCTTTCACTGCCGCGCCAAACGTTGAAACCTAGCGTACGCTGGGTAGGTTTCCGCAACGTATGAACGCAGCCTTAATCAAGTGCCGAATCCATACCCCGCTGCGCTACCTCAATTATGTAGCACTTTGTTCTACTACGTCGATGCCAAGATTTCGCACCGAAACACATAGCGTTAGAGTTCTAACTAGAAGTGAGGTGAGTACAGGCAAGAAGCGTGTTTGGTGTGCCCTAGACCCTGGCAGGCTCTGATGCAACGCAAAGGTAGAGGCATGGATCGCACCAGGTGTCACTAAGAGTCCCTGCATTTTTTTGCAGAGATTGTGGCACGTTACTGCAGCTGCCGAACATTCTTCCTATACACGGCCGCAGATCAGGAACACCCGCTACGAGTGTTTCTGTATACGAGAGACCCGAACGTACTTCAAGTTTGAGAGATGAGCATAATCTTATTTCGCCGTGATGGTCCCCACGACGGAATTAGAAACCAACATTCAACGAATCTCCTAACTGTTCAAAAGACTTTGAAAACCTGCTGTTGCGTACAGAGCTCATGTCGGGACCAGACATTCGGTGATCTCTCCCTACGTTCAGAAAAAAATAGAAATGTGCACGTACAGGCTGTTATTTCACGACTCTACAGCAGGAAAAAAACGATGATGACAATACAGGAAAAAAGAAAAGGGAATTCGACGGATTGGGCTATTCACTTTTACTCCGTTCATAATACACCATAATGAGATCGCTTCCGTCATCGTTTTTCACCTTGGTCAATAGTGAAGTCTACAGGTAGAGTCGAGAAGAGATTTGTTGAATAGCTCGACATATTTATAATGTTTAGACGCAGATCTGAAATCAAAAGCATGCACTACAATGGACTTGTCTCACTAAATCATATACTCAGCCCTGGCAGACACAACTTCACATTTGGCTTCCACATAGAATTTCACCTATTGTCTATGGGCTGTGGGCTTCCCTTGTGAAACGGGTTGCGCTAATATGTCATTTCCGTGAGGTCATGCTCGATCCTGGTAAGTGAGGGAGGAGCCACAATGAAAAAATGACCGTAAGTTATGTCCTGCTACAGACTGGCATCTCAGACAATCCGTGAGTCTTTGATACTAGTTAGTATTCACCGTATGCATTTTTTGACAAAGGTCTAGCTCGACGATTCGACCAAGCCTTTTCCTCGATTTCTTCTCATCACGTAGAGTGCGGAGAGTATTCCTGCTTGCGAAACCATTTCGAATGCCACAGGTTTTGCCATCGTGTCCGAATAGCAACTCGATGGGAAGTTGGTCAGTTTGGCCCTAGAATGGTCAACAGAGCTGCAATCATAATACAGTGATGTGGCTTACAAGGGAGGTCTTTCAGGCTCGTTGCGCGCTTTTCGGAAATGATTTATTGCATGTTTGTATGAAACCGAATAAGGATCACAAAAATGGGTTTTCATTTTTGCTTCATGCGTTTCTGGGTATGTCAAAACTGAGTGCAAAGTTTTGCTGGGGAGAAGCGATTTTGAACCATTTTTCCACAGGCTTTTTCTAATTAATGTTGTTAAGTATGCCATAGCAGATGAGACCTTCGTCGACATGCATCGAAAACGAAACATTCAAGGTAAAAAAGTACTTTATTTGGCGACATAGTGAGGCACATTGTAATTTCTCAAGAGATTCTCGGCAGCGATCCCAATCCGCAGCTGGCGTGAGGGGGTGTTCAGAGCCACGTTGGCGCCAAATGACCTAGAGCTGCCAATTTTAAAGGTCAGAATCGTCATCAGGGCCATTAATACTCACCTCCATACACAGACTTCAGCAAAATTTCTCCTCGAGATGAGCGCTTAACAGCCCTGCGTGCGGGCTGGCAAAGGACAGCGGATAGACTGCTCTTGCAGCTTAGCCGGCGGACTGCGCCGTGGTCAAAAATGGTGTCGTAAATCCAAACCCGAAAAACGTATAAAGCAATCCCGAAAATGCAAAGAGTTAGTCGCCAAGGGGATCCGATCCAAGAACCTTCTTCGCGAGAGCCCACCGCACTAACCACTCGCCATCCGCCGACCGCGAAACAGTGGTTGCGAGAATCGTTCAAGTAACTTCGTATTACTCCCCTCCGTCCACTTTCTTATTGGCTTTCTTTGCTCTCTTTTCAATACCATAGTGAGGGACACCTCATGAATTATCACTGTCAAAGTTACAGCTACAACAGAGCCCATTAACACGGTTAAAATCGCGATTTCTCGGTCAAATTTGTTTTCACTCAGTTTTTGACGCTCCCAGAAACGCATAGCAAAAATGAAACCCATTTTTGTAACCTTGCCATGGTCCCTACAACAAGCAACAAACCATTTTTAAAAAACGGGCCACGACCTCAAAGACCTCTCTTGTTAGAGCAAAGTGGCAACCTAGTAGGGTACACACAGCGAAACCTCGTTTCCTCCACTTCACCTTCCTGGCATGTATCCAGTGCGAAGGTTATGAGTTCAGCGTCAACAGCTGGCGCTTGCTGATCCTGAAAAAGTTCGGTGCAGAAAGAAAACAATACTGCATTATACCAAACATTGCGTGCGGTGCGTGTGTCCGCAAAGACACATTTGACTTCACACGAAAGATTTCAATAGATCAAAGTCCGAGCTAGCCTGGATAATAGGCTAATTGGGCGACAAGCAGATGTAAGGCTTGCACACCTTAGCTAGCATCAGTAATTTAATTTGTATAACATAGGCAAAAATCCTTACCAAGAATATAGCCTTCGGCTAGCGATGGTGGGGTATCGTGTCAACCATTTCCATTTGGCTTCGGTCATACAGAACATTTGTGTTGGGTCTGGCCTCACGCATATACTTCTGGTACGTGCACAGTGACGAACTTTCACAACCTAAACTTTAGAAGCTCTGAGCCTGCTCTGGAAGCGAGTTAAGAGTTTTTTTTTTCCCCGGCGACACCGCCAACTTTCAGCGCATGCCCGCGCCCACTGTGGACGGGGCTTCACATAGGTCATATGTGCTCTTTACATCTTGTCCGTGCCGTACCCATCTCCACCTTGACCCGACCTTTCCAAGTTGTTCTTCAGTTTAAACCGAATTTCCGGACAAACAAATAAACACACAAACAACAAACAAACAGATGACGCATTGACATATAGTGTGGTGATATTTTGGAATGATCGCACTATCCAACTACTACCACTCCAGAAACTCCAAGAAAATTTTGGTGAAACTGTGCCTATAAGGGTATTTCAATGTCCTAATCAAGAATATGACTTTCGTTTTCGATCATGGCGCCATTGGCGGTATTAGGCGCCAAACTGGCGCTTGCACTTCCCTCACAAAGACCGGTGTAAACTTACATACTGGAATATTCGATACACGAAAATGATATGAACTTTTTTTTGCCCTGGCGCTGTTCGGCGCCATGAGGCATCAATTTGTCTCCACGCTTTTTTTCATGAAATCTTATAACAACATGTACAATAGGGGCGCATGATGTCCTGATCACGAAAATGGCATTCATTTTTGACTCTAGCGCCATTTAGCGCTCTTCTAAGGCTAACAATAAGCCTGGAAGGGGTGATTCCCCTTCGGCCGGGCTCAGCCTTATTAGCAGAGCGCGGATGATCGTGGTGACCTTCATTAGCGCGAGCGCCAAAAATGAATGTGATATTCGTAACAGGACGCCAAATAACCCTCATATACAAATTTTGATGGATTAGGTGATACAGAGTATTCAGGCGCGAGCGCCAGGCTCTTTCGGGTCAAGCGGTTGCGATCTTCGCGTTCGGGAGAAACTATCCCTGGGACAAGTTTCCAGCGAACTGATCTACGGTTTTTGGCGCCGGCGCCTGTGGTGCGGGCGCCAGGCCGTTTTTGGCCAAGAGGAAACAATATTCGTGTTCAGGAAGTCGAACTACCTCTAGTACTGAACCTTCAGCCAGATCTCCGAAAAAGCCGGTCAAAATCCGGCCTGTTTTCGGCAGATTGGGGTAGTATTAGTTGAGTAGTGCCGAGTAATCTCCAGAGAACTGCCACTGTTTTCCTCAGAGCCTCTTTTTTCGATGGCCGACCGTTGGTGGTAGAGGTGAAAATAAGGAAGTATGTTTAGTTGACTTAAAAACGCAAAAACAAGACCGACATTCGTGTAGATGATTTCAAGGGCAGTACGCACAAATTTTCGATCGCAAGTCTCAAAACACATCGAAAGTGGGCGATGCTCGTCTTGGGGCTGGGGAGTCAGCATCTATGTTCACACGCTTTAGGTAACGATACGGACGATGTAACGCGCCACGTTAGTGGACTAATGGTATCAGTTCCATTTTTTAAGCGCACGCTACTAAAAGCGACCGATTTCCGTTCCTGCTCCTAAGTTCGTCCCCTGTGAAGACTGATCGGCTAGAAAGGAAACAAAGTGATGCAATACTGGGCGAATCGGTGGATATAAAGAGTCCGTGTAACAATGGGAAAATTGCTTCTCACAAGGTCAGCGTATCTGAAAAACAACAAAATTACCCACGTAACGGTAGGACACGGTGCTAAAGGGTTCACGGGCTAAGAGAACCACTTGGCGTAAGAAGAAAAGGTTAGCTCTCCAGTACTCTTCCCTTTCACTCTCCCCCCCCCCTCTCCCACCCCTAGGTCCAGGCAATTCACCATCTCCAAGTTTGAGACATATTCACAAGGTTCTGGATGCTAATTTAACAGAGAAAGTCGTGACTGGAGCACCCCTACGGCTTAAAGGCACAGTCTTCGATTAGGTATAGAAGTTGTAAATATGGCTTCAGGAGAGTAGCAAGGTCCGCGGGAAACAAAGTTGTACGGTTTCGCGGCCAAAAATATGAGAGGGGCGCTATAGCGTAGCATGGAAATCCTCACTTGTACGATCATAGGGTTATTATCAGGGAATCAGCTGTGCGGATGAGGGCATGGTGTTGAGATGGAGACACTAGGCTCGTACAAACTGGGATCGGAGTGGGGTTATATCTAGAGCACTTGGGCCTTTTTTTCTTCACTGTCGAGTTCTCAGAACCTTGTCGCCTTTATAACCCCTAATCCACTATCTGCAACGGCGAATAATCGCGACGGCACTATTCAACTATTACTACCTCAGACTTCCGGAAGGGCCGGATTTTGATCGACTTTTTTCCGACCTCCTGAACACGAATATCGCATCCGCTCCTCTCGAAACCGCCTGGCGCCCGCGCCACAGGCGCCGGCGCCAAAGTACCCTAGATCACGAAATCCGCTGAAAACTTGTACCTAGGGTAGTTGGACCTCCTAATCACGAATATCACATTTTCTCGGCTTGAAACCGCTCCGCTTCCGCGCTACGGGCGCCCGCGCCAAAATGCCCCAAATCACTGGCGCCTATGGCGCGGGCGCCAGGCAATTTCAGGCCAAGTGGGTGTGATATTCGTGTTCGGGAGGTCGAAGTACCCCTAGAACCCAAATTTCAGCTAAATCTACCCCCGTAGAAAAAAGTCGATCAAGATCCGGCTTGTTTTCGCAAAACTGGGGTAGTAATAGTTGAATAGTACCATCGCGACCCTCGCCTTTACTGGCACGCGTATGTAGTGAACTGCTATGTGACAGTAGTAGTGAACTGCTATGTGACAGTAATGTTCTAGAAGAGATATGCGACTGAAAGAGCAGAGTAGGTGCATGTAGGTGTTCGGAGGAGCCTCAAGTGTGGGTTGCGGTTAGCCTTTCGGCAGAATGTTTTTTGACTAACGCGGGCTTCGCTATCCCATTTTCAAAAAAGGTGGGATATTTTTCACGCACTAATCGTAATCCCGGCGCTGGAGCGCTTTCTTGCTAGTGCACAACACTTCACTGTGGGCTCACCTCACCGGAGAGAAGCTTTTCACTGACGATAATCGGTGGAGCGCTGAACGTGTCGGTGGCTTTGACGAACATAGTTAAGGCTTCAGCAAACTGTTCCTCGTTGAAATCTCCTTCATGACAAAGATATGCATGGTTCCTGAAATCTGCTAGTGGCCGAAAATGTCTTTGTTAGCTCGAAGCACTAGAAAAGACCTGGAAGTTCACAAAAACCAGGCAATGGGAACAAGCGAGGGAGGAAGGATTACGGGTCAGGAGAACATCTACTCACCAGATAGCTGACCTAACCGAGCTGGGGCGCGTGAAGAACGCTGCGTTTAGCGCTGCGCTAGCCCTTGCTTCACCAACAACCGTTCGAGTGACAAGTGGTGGTGAAGAACGAGTTGGCGCAGCACTGTTCTTTACGGATGCAGATGCGTGACAGGGAGGCTAGCGCAGCGCTAAATCCAGCCTACAGCATCTATTTCTGAAGTGGTTCAACATAACCTACAGTGCGTGTCGATTGATCTTCCAAGCAAACCAAAATGTTGTCCAGCCGGTTTGATAAGAGTACAGTCGGAGCTCCGTACTTGGAAAGAGACGATCAAGCTCGATTCTGATAGCTTGACGAAGGAATAGGTATTTGGGATGAGTAGGAAGTGAGCTCTGTATTTGAAGCAGTTCATCCGGGTCCGAATGCAAGGAGAATTTTGACAGCATATCTGAAAATCTCACCAACACAGTAAAAACGAATCATTCGAAGCGGGGCAAAGAGTTGAACAATAGAAAACTCTACCAAAAACTTATGAAGGATGCAGTAATAGTAATAAGAGCAGCTTATATTTCACATACCAGACAAAACTGATTTTCTTTCCTTAATTGGCGCAATCAAACGTGAAAAGAGCTGTTTACCACTAGATATGTTGAATATATACCAACAATATCTATTATAATGAGGCGCCTCAAAAGTTCGTGACATTTTTGAATCTCGTGTCAGATCTTTCCGCAGCTACTTCGAGAACCGCGAGTTCCATCGCGGTTGCAGCCACACATGGCATTTGCTCTGAGATAGGTCCTAATGTACCTTCAATAATACGGCATTAATGGCCCGATCTCTTTCGCTTAAGTGACATCTACTGGGAGAAAAACCTCGTCCGGAGAGGCCATTGGGTCTGGGCCTACTGCGCTCCCTGATTAAGACCAATTCATACGAGCCAGCTCGCTATGTAGTCCTTATAGTTGATGTTCCAAAAGCACAATGACAGAGACATTCTCTCAAAAAGTACTGAAATTCGACCAAATTTTCTCGTGAGTCGACCCCGATACTCAAGGAGCAGCGCATATGGGTACTGCCTACAACTTCTCTCCCACTGCCGCCCTTTGGACTGCTTGAACAACATTATGACTGGATATGCAAGAGGTGTCTCTAGATGGACAACTCGCGCAAGCGCCTGTGGCTAGATCCTCCAGAAATGGCGGAAACGGCAGTGATATCCTATCAGTCCAGTAGGGCGGTGATACTGTGATACCAATGTCACTGCTCGAAGTCCTAAAGCTCAGTTGGAGAATCCCAACACAGTCCTCGTGTAGCGCTTATCTTTCTGACTGCCATCTGAACTTATCCCTCAGCGGCCATCTTCTGATTAAAAATGAGCGCCCAAGAAACGACTCAACTGCCTTTCTCGGCGCGGAACCAAAAAGCTTCTAGAGGCAAGGCAAACACTCTTTGCTTGGTTGCTGGCAACAATTTGTCGATGAAGTCATTCCGGTTTGCATTTGATTTGCAAGTCATTTTATACCATGCACGCAACATATCCTCGCATAAGTTGTCCGCAAGCGCATAGACGAAGGTGGTGTCGTGTCGAAACTGCATGCTGCACGACAAGGACTTGTAATGTGTGCGAGGCTGCGCCTCAATGCTTGAGGCTTGCTTAGTTCGCTGTCCAAGGAACATCCCACCCCATCGTAACGTAAGGAACAAGAACAGCTCAGAAGTGCCAAATAGAACAAAAGGGCCGTCAGTAAGGTGGCACCTGTTTCATCTGCCTGGCATACAAGCAGGAATATCGGGCAAATAATCTACTGGTAACCTCGTGAAAGCTCAAAAGAGTTCGAGTGAACAGCTCAACGATTTCCCCTTCTTTTCCACTGCTGAGTCATTCCACCCATAACTTCTTAATTTGACAGCAATATTCACTTCTTAGCATCTTGAGATGTGCCTCGAAAGGTACCTCGCGCCTATCCATTAAAATATTGGGTGGTACGATAGATCGGCAGGACGTACAGGGTCGATATGCCCAGCGCAAAGTGCCCCTTAGCAATCACTGCGTGGCGCCTTCCTCAACCAAGGAAACCGTTATAGTGCCTCACAAGGGAGCAAAATGTCGACTCACACACCAGTTGCCCGCCCACAATCGTATACTCTCATCACTTCAACCAGGAAGTACAACTGTTATGAAACATGGCTAGATGAATATATGAGCATTCGTACGTGGAGCCGCATTGCAAAGCTTCTGTTAGAGCGATGCCAGCGAAATACTCGTCCAAAAATGCTCGTCCAGTGCCGAGCAGAACAATGTTTCTTGGTTTTTTTCCACCGTTTATCTTCCGTTTTCATCAATTTCCTCACTGTATAGCAACCCTCTCCTAAGCAAATACCAATTGGGTTTTTTTGTGGTTTATGCCTCTAAGGTGCGCAACTTAACAGCGAAGAAAGGAAGGAAAAAAGCAATTAAGGCAGTTGGCACGGTAAATCCCGCAAGATGACTAAGATCAATACTGCTGGCAGGATAGAATTTCGCGACCTTGGGCAAGCGTTGCATAGCGGTTTCCCCGAGGAAGGTGCTCTTATAAGGGCCCCATCAAGCCAGAACATTACGTCTCAAACGCCCGCCACGCCGCCCGCCCACAAATGGACGACCGTTCCTGACGCTAATATTCATTCATTTCTTGAGCAAATTATGAAGCGAAGGTATTGGTATGAAGCGGCCGTGATGATGCATGCATATGTGGGTACACATATGCAGCCGCACCTTCGGTAGCGGTGATTGGCAAGATGCCTACAGGAAACTCGTCCAAAATCGAGTCACTGCGAACGGAGGCTTTTTCTTCGCAGGTTTTGACCGTTTCACTCCGTTCTTTCGCCATTTCCCCACTACAGCGTCCCACTAGCATTTTAGTAGGACACCATCGTGCCAACTGCCTTTAAAGAAGCTCCAAAGTCTCTGTTGACTGTAATTATTGCACAGGGGGGGGGCCAAAAAAGTCACTTTTCTTCATTGACTCGAGGCGCTATAAATTACACTTTATTAAGTTCTCATCGGACATTTTCACCACCATATCAAATACTATCATGACACTCTGCCACAGACTTCTGGACGAGTGTCATCGAGAGATTACCGCGATGTGGTGCCACATCGCATCGAGATCAGCGAGATAGTGGATTTCTCCGCCACCGTAACCACCCTATTGAGCTCCCTCCGAACCGGGTATTGAAGGGATTCAGGACAGGTGACCTACTCGGATATTCCATCTTCTTGAGATACCCAGCCTCCTTCCGTTCCAAGTAGGCGAGAGTTTCTCCAACGCCCTTCGATTCCATGTGGTGGCACCCAATGCTGTAGCAGTACAAAGTTTCCGAGAAGGTACGGGCGACGACATGTGAAAAGGATATTCTTCACGAGTTGCTCGATGTGAGCGCTCACTTTCAGTCTAGGTCCACGAAGAAAATATTGGTCTTTCCATTCCAGGTACGTCCGGTCCATACCATCAACCCGTGCCTTGGCGACTGTGGTGAAGATGATGTCCTGGACCGTAGCGACGTTGCCGGAGCTGCTCGATGTTTGAGGTCTTGCAGATTAAGAGTACTGACCTCCAGGTAGCTATCTGTGGATGACTTCATTCAAGAAGTTTCGCAGCTGTTTGGAGGTGACATGTTTCCAGTGGTCTTCTCCAGTCAGGCTGCAACCGGAGATGACTTCTTATTTTGTGTACATGAGGTGATGGCGAGAACCAGCTCCTGCTTATAGAGAACATCTTGGATATCTCCGCCTGGTACTCGTATCCGACGACGTCCTCTGTCCGGGCAGCGAAAACTTTTTGGCTGACTATGTGACTCGGTCGAAGTGACTTTTTTTGCCCCTTCCCCCTCCTGTATACGAGCATATGGCGAAGAGGCGCTGATTACGCAAAAGAGCAATGGATGACGAAACGGCGAGGGGATGCACGAAGAGACAGCCTGCACTGCATAGAATGAAGCGATAAAAAATAAAAAGGGTGGAAATGAACATTCGGGGCGGAACTCGACAAGTGTGACACTTCTCTGGTTTTCTAATCAAGGAGATATTTCGTAGCCGCAAAAATGGCTCATCTTTGGCGGATCTGGCTGCCTTGTGCAAGGAAGAATGGCACAATGTGAAAAGGTAAGCTCGGCTGGTTTCTGGATCTTGGTGGTGATCTATCTCCTTTGCTTAATCCCCTTACCCATTTGCTACGCCGTGATATCAAAGGGCACGAAGCAAGCGGACAGACAAGCATGCCGAGAGGCGGATCCGTATCGATAAACTGACACATCAAGTATAGACTATGAAATCCTCATTTTCCTACGGCGCATTTTCGGCGCGTCTGCTTGCGGTCTGTTTGACTTTCCGTCTGCAAAGTAGGTTAAATAAGGGATAAGAGAAAACGCTCGCCCGGAAACTTGGACACCGTCCGAATCAACTACGCGGCAAAACAAGGAAAGGTTTGGCTGTCGTGCCGCAAGAATGGTCTTAGAAAGCTCTACAAATGCGACAAAAAGAGCTACTAGTAATCATCTTCTGGTTGTGTTTATCTATGGAGAGAAAACTAAAAAACCCAGGCTTACGCCAGACGCTAGTGATGGTTTGAGGAGTAGCCCGTGCTCGTCGTGACCACGAGACAAAGAGCTTTGTTTGAACATTGACATTTTACACGACACATCAACAATCCATTGAACTATTCCTACCCCAGTCTTCCGCAATTAGGACGGTTTTTTACCGACTTATTTCTACGAGGATAGATTCGGCTGAAACTTTGTTCCCAAGGGTAGTACAACCTCCTGCACACGAATATCACATCCGCTTGACACGGAACCGCCTGGCGAAAGCGCCACAGGCGCCGTCACCAATACATCCTCGATTACCAGAATCGATGAAAACTTATATGCGAAGGTTATTTGACATCCCGATTACGAATATGTCGAGTATGTCCGTAATGTGCTGAGTCCCGCCCGCAGTGGGTGGAGCGTACCCTCAAGTGCGAGGTAGCTATTTTCACTGTGTTTTCGTCACAGGTACATTTGATACCAGTCGGTTCGCTGGCTGACGCCGGCCCGACTTCCTTTCTAATACGGCCAAGCTTTGCTGGGTTGGCTTGGCTTCGGTGGTCTATTGCTTTCGTATGTTCAAATGCTCATAACACCCAGCTTCTCCGTCATCTGTGCACCGAGGGTAATAATCTCTATGTCGCATATAGCAGGTATTATGTTATGCTCAAGGAACGCTGACTATGTGTACAGATGAAAGAAACATTTGTTGAGCATCCAATTATGTAAAGGAAGGTACGCGCGGCGGAGCCGGCGAGCAGACTGGTATGTTATGTTTTCTACGATTATGTTTCCCTACAATGACTGTCAAACTTCACTTACTTCCTTCAAGTGTCAAACTGCGACCCCATGGCAAACGCTTGACAGTCCAATGTAG